ATTAAACAGAATGGCTCTAAATCAACTTCAGATTGACTTTAATGAAAGTAACATGGGCTTATCAACTGTAGTTTCACATGTCAATTTTGTACTATCCAGAATCTCTAGAAGTACTGTAGATATGATTGAGCCCAGCTGCAAGAGATCTTAAGTGTAGGGAATTTAAGTGACATGCCCAAGTTTACAAAGTGAATTGTTGGCAAAGAGTAATCAGAATCCAGGAATAACTATTTCTCATTGCTGCCTCTTTCCAATACAGCTGAACAGAGTCCTACAGGTAATTTGGTTTAGCGTGCATTATTTATTTTTACATTGAAACAAATTCTAAAGCATTTTTACATTTAGTTTGGGACAAAAATATTAAATTTTCCATACATTCTTCAATTTGTACAAACATTAAACAAATTAAAAACTGAATATACTAAATTCTTCTTCATAACTCAACATTACCTTTCTTCAAAAAAAGTAAGATGTATGAAAGAACTACCTAAAATTCCAACCCATTAACACTGCTGAGATTCTTCCATGTACAAATCTCTAGAAGCATACTAATTCTTAAATATGTGGCTGGTTGGATCATTTTTAGGACGTTGGTCACCAGTGAGTAGAAGATATGCCTTTGAATTACCACTTATTTTCCATTTCATCCCTAGTGAATCAGAATAGTTCATTAACTGAATAAGGCAGGAAGAAAATGCCATGGATTTCCCAGCCATCTGCAAAACTGAATTGTTCCCAATGGCCCCAGAGCTAACAGTACAAACCATTATCAACTAAACTTAAATATTAAAGCCTAGAGAAGTTTTAATTTTTAACGTTTACACACATACACACACACATTAACTTTATGAACTACAAATGATAGTGGATTTTCTTAAGTAAACTAATTTGAATAGTGGTATTTTAAATTATGCATACTAGAAATCCAGTATCCTAACTTCAGATGAGTAGAACAGGACTTAACCCAGAATACTGTTAACCTTCCAAAGCAGAATGTTTCAGTAGTTGGAAGGAAGCAATGTGAAGTGGAATGAACTTTATCTTTGATGTCAAACCAACTAGTCTAAAGCTAAGTTCTATGACTTGAGCAATTCACCCAGCAGGGTCAGATGGCACTGGTAAAGTACTGAACACCAAACTAGCACAAACAAGACCAACAGCATCCTTCCCCAACAAGAAAGACTGTGCTTTGGCATTATTTTGAAACTGCTTATCATGAAATGTATCTTTTCATAAATAGAAAATTCATGTAAAGCAAAACCAAGCTTGCTTTCTTCTAGTCAAACTCAAACTCATACACACCTTATTTTAGCTGGGCTAGAGCCTACAGAGGAGGTTCCACTGTAAGAAACTGTGAAAAATGGTCACAGGGAAGCATTTTAGCAACGTAAAACAATGTAAAGGATTGTTTGAAAGGTGATAACACACCATATCACTAGAGTCAAAGCAGTTCAATAAAGAAGAAAAAAAGTCCAAAATGGCTTATTTAGTGATAGCCAAAACAGGATGCAACTTGAGTGCAGGAAAAAATTAGAACTCCTATATCTATTTTTATTGCATTCTTTGAGATTTTTAAACATGTTTTATACTACATTAGCATATACACTGTTCATAAATATCCAGATATTGGGAATATAACCTCTTTTTGGACAAGATGTACAAATAAAAAGTCTGGAGATGATTTTTCTAGATTATGAGACTAGAGAACACATCACACCATCAAGAGTTCTTTTTATTAAAAAAAAAAAGATTTATTTATTTGAAAGTCGGAATTACAGAGAGAGAGGAGAGACAGAGAAATCTTCCATCCTCTGGTTCACTCCCCAAATGGCCGGAGCTAAGCCCATCTGAAGCCAGGAGCCAGAAGTCTCTCCTGGGTCGTCTTTGCTGGTACGGGGCCCAAGAAATTGGCCCATCCTCTGCTGTCTTCCCAGGTGCCCTAGCAGGGAGCTGGATCGGAAGTAGAGCAACCAGGACTCATACGGGATGCTGGCAGTGACTTTACCTGCTATGCCACAGTGCCGGCCCTTAGACTTCTATCTGAACTCACTTTTTAGTCTACTGGGCATCAATGGCTAGAATAAAACCCACTGAGTAAAATTAAACCTCTTGGGGCAGGCATTGTGGTGTAACAGGTTAAGTCGCTGTCAAGCAATACTGGTATCTCATATGGGTGCTGGTGGGAGACCTGGATGAAGCTCCTGGCTCCTGGCTTTGGCCATTGAGGCCATCTGGAGAGTGAACCAGCAGATCAAAGATCTCTAATTTTTTCCCTCTCTTTCAAATAAATAATATAAATCTTAAAAATTTTAAACCTGTTATCCACTGTTAATATATGTTGTGGCTACTACGGAATAGATCTAAGTCTGCAAAATTTGGTCTTCAAATATATTGTGACTTATTTTTGATACTCTTATTCTAAAATGTTTTTGATTATCAATAAGCATCTTTAGTTCCTGGCTTTATTTTACAGAAATATTGGTTTCACAATAGATGGAAAGCGTAACAACAAAAAACAGGGCCCTTCCATTTACAAAGGACCATATGCTACCAGAGGGCATGAATACTCAGTGTTTGAAATACTCTGCCAACTTGCATGACCATCAAAATCAGTGGTTTGTATTTGTGACACTGGAACCAGAGGCCATCTAATTTGAGTTGCTAGTCTATGTGACTCAGAACTCCATTTGTCCTAATCTTGAACTCACAAATGTCTCCATCTGTGACATAATTATTTCCAAAACCAATTAACAGATGTCAAACAGCAAATTATGACTTTAGGTAATGAATAAAATGGCAGGAATGGATAATTCTTAAGTATGAAAATGTAGCACCCCCAAAGCAAACTGGAAAATGAAATGATTTGTCCTGTTTTACTCACTTGAGACAGGCAGATACCATCCCATGGGGAAACAATGGCACTATAAAAGGGTGTGAACACTAGAAGTCACCTGGTTCTCCACAGGAGTGTGCAACTACTTCATAGGTTTCATGTCCATGATGCTGGGGTGTGGGGCTGGCAAAGGGACTGCCAATGATCCACTAGTCAAATAAATGGTTCAAAACAGAAAAGGGCAAGACTGTCTGCTCTTAAGATTTAGGGTGATGACATACTTTTAACATTACTGTCCACTCTGGGAAAATACTAAGTGCAAAAGGAATAGTCAGCAACTTGTCTTCATGTCCCAAGACATGAACAGAGTCACATTTTTCTCATTATCCAATAAGCACAGCCCTAAAAACTAAAACTTTGCTATCATGTAATGGATGGTACAAAACAAACTTGGAGCTAATTTGATTACTTTTAAATAATGGATTTGTATAAAAGGTAGCAGTTTGCACAATTAAGGATCCTTTTATGTCGCTTAAAAGATATAATGAAGAACTAAAGTTTATTATTAAACTAAACCTACAAAATATACCATATCTTTCCCTTAGTGAAGCTGGCAGGCAAACATTCTTTTCCTTTGTGATCCGACCCCGCAGCCTAAGCGCACTGAAGCACCCTGTGGGAGGAAGTAGCATCTTGCATTCAGGGATCTCCACGCTCTGGCCAGGACACAGGCTTCCCCAGTCCTCCCCATCACTCCCTTTCACAGATACGCGACAGCACCGAAACGCAACACTACCTGCCCACCACACTTAGAAGTTACTCTTACTCACTTTCTTCAAGCTCTCTGTGTTAAACTTACTTCCCATTCTGAAGGCCCTGGAGGATGCATGTTCTCCTGGGATTGTTCTGTTTGCTACACTACCGTCAGTGCCATTGGGTTCACTTTAATGTCATTCTCCTATTGATCATACTGTTAGCTTCTTAGGGGCAGAAAGTTTGTCTGAATCAACCTCTCTTTCTCAATTCAATTACCATAATCTCAATGCCTGGGGCAAAATGTGAGCTTGATACAGAGCAGTTCTTCAGTGTTCTCAAGTGTGTGGCTAACTCACTCTGTATCTACAAGTTTAGAGGTTCTAATTTTATCTTATGTTGGTGAAACAGTTCTCTCCTGGATTATTATCCTAGGGATCTCCGCAAATAAACAAGGCGTGTGAAACCGAGTTCCCAGATCCACCGCAGGAATAACAAAGTTTTCACTTGAATGGCCTAAGCCTTAAACAGCGCCTTTCAGTGCCAAACACCAGGCTATCTCCATCCAGCTCTGAGACGGCTCTTCCTTTAATGAATATCTTACAGGAAAGAAATGAGACAACGTGGATCTGGGAAACCACCATTTTGACAGACCTCTTATTTATGTGTACTTAGACCACTTGGGAAAGATGAGATCATTTCAGCAGCAGCGCCATCATCTCTCTCTGACCCCAACAATGCTCCCAACCTAACAGTCCACAGGCGTGCATCAGCCAGGCCACAGCACGTCGCGGGAAGGCGGCACCAGGTAACACGCACCCCTCTCCTAAAGGGGAGAGGAGCAACACGAGAGAGCACGGGACTTTCCCTGAAAATGTCGGCTCCAGAGGTACTCCGGGCATCCCCTTCCCCCACCTCCACAAATCTACTCCTGGAATCCGAGACATAGGTCCTTTGTCTGCACGAGGTGGGAGGAGTCTGTCTGCAGCGCTGGTGCGCTGGCGAGCGAGGAGGAGAATGGACTGCAAACTGGACCAACGCATAAAGTTCCTTCATGACCTTACCGGCCCGTTGTGTGTGTGTGTGTGTGTGTGTGTGTGTGTTTTTCCGGCGTGCACACCCAAGCGTTCTAAAACATAGCCCGCGTGCCTTTCCCAGAGTGAGAACAAAGAGCTCGAGAGGAATGCGGCGAGGCCGACAGAGTTAGGCTGCTCTGGGAAGTCAAGTTCCGCAGCAGCCCAGGGCCGGGCGGGGGGCTCCGGCCGCCTCAGCATCCCTCGCCTCTCCCACCCCGTCCCTTCCTCCGTCGGAAGCGGCCGCGCCAAGCCGGGCGAGCGCTCTGACAAGCCCCGGGGCCGCCCACCCCCGACCCACTCGCCGCGGACACCCCGCCCAGGCCCCTTCCCGCACTCACCCTGGCGGCCCACGATCTCGGCGACGTGTTCGGAGCTGGGCACCGGCACGCACTCGGTGGTGTTGACGCTCTTCCTCCGCAGCAGGGCCGCCTGCTCCCCGTTCAGCGCGGCCGCCGCCGCCGCCGCCCCGCAGCCGCCGGGGCCGTAGGCGTGGGACAGCATCGCCGCCATCATGCCCTGGGCATCGTCCCCTCCGTACAGCACCCCCGCCGCCGCCGCCGCCTCCCGCGCATCGAAGCCTGCGGCCGGCAGCAGCACCGAGCCCAGGGGCCCGCCCGGGATCGGCTGGCTCTGCGAGGCGGCGGCCGCGGGCGGCGACAGCAGCAGCAGCGACGGCCGGTCCTCCTCCTCGGCCTCGTTCAGCTCCTCCTCCTCCAGCAGCTCTCCGTCCAGCTCCGCTTCCTCCGCCTCCTCCTCGTCCTCCTCCAGCTCCAGCTCGGCCGCCTCCGGGGCCGCGGGCCGGCCGGGCGGCGCCCGCTCCTCAGGAGACAGCCCCGCCGCCCGCCGGGCCTGGCCCTGCGCCGCCGCCGCCGCCGCCGCCACCGCCGCCGCCGCGGCCCGGAGCGTCGGGGCGCCGGGCTCCGCCGGGCTGGGGTCGTCGAGGCCTAGCGCGGCCAGGCGCTCCCTCAGCAGCAGCCCGTCCCCCTCGAGCTCCGGGCCGCCCGCGGGCGGCGGCAGCGGCGGCGGCGGCGGCGGCGGGGGCGGCTGCGGCAGGGGGGCCGGGGCCGCCGCCAGGGCCAGGGCCGCGGAGCTGCCGCTCGGCATCGCGGCGGCGCGCTGTCAATGGCGGCGGCGGCGGCGGCGGCCGGGTCAGGCGCGGCGGGCGGCGGGCCCCATGGCGGACAGGGCCCGGGCCCTGCGGAGCGCAAACACCTTTCCTCTGGGGCGGCGGCGGGGCCGGCGACCCGGGCCGAGGCGCGCCAGGTCCGCCCGCAGGCCGGAGCGGGCGGGGTGGAGGGGCCGGGTAAGCAGGCAGAGGTAGGTAACTAGGTGGGTGGGTGGGGACGGCGGCGGGGCGGGCTGGTGGAGGTGGCAGCGGCTCCCCTCTCAGGCTTTCTTTTGTTTCATGGCCTTAACCAGCCCCCGGCGCGCGCGGCGGCGGCGGCGACGCCCCACGCCGCTCTCCGAAAGAAGCCGGCGTGCTCTGATTGGCTGCTTTTAATCTCTGGGAGCCCGCCCTCTCTGCCCGCTGCCTTCCAACTCTTTCCCCCTAGCCCCACCCCCCCACCCCTCTGGAGCCCCGCCCCTCCCCTGCCCAGAGCTTTCTGATTGGGTGAGTGTGACGAGCCAGCCCTCAGGCCCGCTCCTTCCGTCCTTTTCCCTCCCTCCTCCCCACCCTCCCCTTTCTCCAGGGGCTCACGAGGAGCGGGACTGTGATTGTTCGCTTTGCTCGTCAGTCTTTGTGACGTACGCCGTGGGGGCGGGGAAAAGGAGAGGTGGGGGACGAAGGCGCGGTAGCGGAGGCTGAAACTACGGACCATGCGGGCTTCCGCGCAAGCGCATTCACTCTTGGGAGTTCCTCGCTCCCGCCCGGCGTGCCTGTAGCCATGCAGGGTCAGGTGTTTTAGGGAGAGCTGTGGTCCGCCGCCTTGGGGCGGAGGGCCTTGTTCCCCTAGCTGGGGAGGGGGCTGGATCTGAGGACGGGCTGGGGAGGTGTCCTCCCTTGGGTTCGCGGGGGTGGCTTCCTGAGCCGCGTGGCTCCTGGGCCTCGCCTGCAGCCACCGGGGCGGGCTCGCTCCTCCCTCGGGGCTGGGCTTCCCTTGCAGGTTGGTTACATCAGGAGCCTGGAAGCCTGAACTTCGAAGAGAATTCATTCATGGTTTCCTGCTACAAGCCTCAGTTCCCACCGCATTGCCCCATGATCGCACACGCGGCTCTCTAGAAGTTGTTTAAAAACGCCTTGTGTCCGCCCTCCCAGGTTAGCCTGAACGGTCGGCGTTTTCCTGTGGAGACAGAATGCGATTTTGACGCTCTCAGTGGCCCCGTTAAAGCAGAAACATAGTTCTAATAAACTTAGATGTACGTAAACAATTACGATGAGTGTCGCAGCTTTTCCATACCGAGTTTTCAATGTCATGTGTTTCCTGGAGCGCATCTCACTCCAGTTTGCTTCACTGTGCACACTCAGTAACACACACTCAGTAACACCAGCGGCCCTAGAACGCTGGATTTTTATCCTAGAGCTTGGGATGCGTCCCACACAGGAGGAATTTCATTATCTCCCGTGGCCTCAAACTCACTTTCTGCGGGTCTGCTTCCATCGAGCGCCTACGTTTCTAAATTGTCCAAGGTGTTGAAAAGATTTTTCAGAAGTCCAGACTATGGTTTCCGGTTCTCTGTTGTGTCCATAAGGCTGTTTGCAACACCTTCCTACAACCTCCCCAATGCCTGCCGTCAAAGGCCTGGAGGATTTTGGCTAACACTAACCTTTCCTGCTATTCCCAGGTCTCCCTAACCCTAGCATAACCCTATGTGTGCTTCTCAGTCAATTCATTTGTAGCCATAAGCTCTGGAGCAGTGATTCTCAATGCTGGCTCTACATCAAAGTCAAGAAGGGCTAACAATAATATAAATAAATATAGCGGGGAGAGGCAAACCCTGGCTCTCTGGATTTAGCGGGCCTGGGGTCAGGGCCTGGGCATGTTTATCAGAAGCCAGGCAGCTTGTTCTGAAGCTCAGAGTTGAGACCACTGCTCTTGGGTTCGTGTGTGGGATTTACAGAAGAAATCTTGCTGCCATTAACTCCACCAAAAAGTGATTGTTTTCTTACCTAACTTTCCAATTAGACGCGTTTTTCATTGATTTACCACATCTACACCCTTTTTGCAATATGCCCTGAGGATGTATTTCCTGGCATCTTATTGAAGATACTGAATCTTTTTTTTTTTTTTAATTTTTTGACAGACAGAGTTAGACAGTGAGAGAGGGAGACAGAGAGAAAGGTCTTCCTTCCGTTGGTTCACCCCGCAATGGCTGCTACGGCTGGCGCACTGCGCCGATCCGAAGCCAGGAGCCAGGTGCTTCCTCCTGGTCTCCCATGTGGGTGCAGGGCCCAAGCACTTGGGCCATCCTCCACTGCCTTCCCAGGCCACAGCAGAGAGCTGGACTGGAAGAGGAGTGACCAGGACAGAATCTGGCACCCTGACCGGGTCTAGAACTAGGGGTGCCAGCACCGCAGGTGGAGGATTAGCCTAGTGAGCTGCGGCGCTGGCCGATACTGAATCTTTTTAAATGTACCAGTGAATAACTTATATAACTAGACATTTACTTAGAGAAAATGCAAATGGTTTGTTGTCTGATATTTCAGTTTGAACAATGACATTATCTAAAGGATTAGACTTCTAAAAAGGCAAATCCAGTCGAGGGAGAAAGCCAAATAGAATACACACTGGTCACTCAGGATATATTGATCATTGGCAGGAAATAGGTAGTAAAATTACAAAGGAAAGTCTTGGAAGTCCCTTTCTCCACTTTTTTTTGTGACCTGTCGAGTCTCATTTTTCATGAGTTGTCATGCTCACCCCTTAGTCTTAAATTCTCTCCCTCACGAACCTAAAGCAAAATAACTGGAGAGATAATATACCACAGAGTGTTTTGTTTTTGCTTTTAGCATGAGAGATGTAAAGAATAGATTTGTGCAAAAGATCCATTCAGCTAAGATTTTTAAAAATGCTAGATGGTTTAATATAGGTGCTCATTGTATAAAAATTGCTTTCCACTTCATTCTCACGTAATAAATGAGGTTTCATATGTTCTCATACCCAAATACATGCATTCATGCATTAATTTATATTTGATCAATATTGTGATTTATGAACAAGGCAGAAGATATTGAAACTTACCCACCATCCCACTTGGGCCTGAATTTATTGTGTTGTATTAAATCTTGCTTATGAAGCAAATTTAGGATTTGCTTTTCCTCTAAATATATAACCAGGATTCCTTCACTTATATCCATCAAATAACCCAATCCCTTCTACCCTCCCCTATCACATGACTCATAATTTTGCGCCTAAATAGGGTTTTCCTTTTATTTCTCTTCTGCTGTTTATGATGGTTGATTCCCATGTGTGTGTATGTGTTCAAGAATCTGAGGACAAAAAAATTCCAGAATTAGGTACCCTTTATCAAATAGGCCAGTTGCTGGACTAGTCCTTTAAATCTATCCAATTATAATATTAAATTTGGAACAATTGCAAACTGAACAAAGCTTAACAAGATGTTTGTCCCAGTAAGAAAACAGATAATTAGACAATGGTTTTGCAATGAATCCATAAAAAAAATGCCCTAGGGCTGGCGCTGTGGTACAGAAAGTTGAGCCACCATCTGAGACTCCAGCATCATATATGGGTGCCGGTTTGAGTCCTGGCTACTCATTTCGATCCAGCTCCCTGTTGGTGTGCCTGGGAAAGCAATGAAAGATGGCCCAAGTACTTGAGTCCCTGCACCCATGCCGGAGACCTGGAAGAAGCCCCTGGCTCCTGGCTATGGCCGTTGTGGCCATTTGGGGAGTGAGCCAGCGGAGGGAAGATCTCTCTCTGTGTCTCCCTGTCTATGTGATTCTGCCTTTCAAATAAATTATATGCAAAAAACAAACAAACCAACCAAAAAGTCCCCCAATATGTGGGTGAAATATTCTCTGCTCTAACAGTCAAAACTAAACACACTTTAAGACAAGGTGACTTTCTGTAGGCTAGGCTGTCCTTGGAATAGAAGTACACAGCTCTGAGACCATGAGCCTGTCATTCCCCTGCTTGAAATGGGCTCTCAGTGTTTAAGAACAAGCTCTCCTGCTTGGAATTCCAGGCCTTCCACATTGATATCATTCTTTTAGGTGCTCAAAATTCTCACACAAACATGCTCAAATGTCTCCGATGCTAACAATCACATCCCGCTCTTGTCCCCACACTTTCTTCTCTACTCTGAATCAACTCCTCCACTCATTGCACCCAATGTCTGTTTTTTCACCATAGGTTGCAAGGCATCTATGGTTCTTGCTGTGTCACTGAAATTATTCTCACCTTGTCCCTGAAGTCAATGAGCACTTTTTATCCCCAGCCAGCTTACCCTTTGCCTGGCAGGATTCGACTCTATGCTGCCTAAAGCACTCTCTCTTCCTGTGCCTTCCTTGAACCTTTCTGCTTTTCTTCCTACTTCCATAGAGGTGCCTCAGTCTCCTTTGTAAGTTGTGTCTCCTACCACTTGTGTTTGGGTATTCACTGAGGATCCAACTCGGACCTGCTTTCTGCTTACCCCATCCTTTCTACTTTAAAGTATCATATCCATTTCCAAGATTCCTATTACCTGTTGACCGTTCTCAGATCTATATTACCATTCCTAATCTCTTGATTCATTCCAGACCCAGAAATCCCACTGTGGTATGGCTATCTCCACTGGGTCTTCACATTCAGTCTCTATTTACACTTGACTTCCCAAACGGAAACCTTCTCCGTTAAAATTAGCTTTCAGCTTAGTACTGGATGGCACCACTGTCTATGCAGTTCTTTGGACACTCTTGACTCTTTCTTTAATCCTAGAGTCAGTCAAAGAGTAAGTTCTGGGACATACCTCCCGATTCCCAAATCCATCATCCTTCCTGCCCTTTCAAAACTGTGACACAGTCAGGAGACTATATAGATATTCTTCCCTGAATCCTAATGCAGTTCCTAAAAATCTTGTTTCCTGAGTGATAGGGGTGATCAGAGTATCTTTTGTTACAATAACTTGGTCTTTGCCCCCAGTTTCCGACAAGCAGTTCCTGAATCGCTCGGAATGTCGTGAGTGATTAGAATGGCTTTTGTTCCAACAAGCCAACTCTTATCCAGCCCCTAGGTAGCTTCAGACTGGGGACTGGACTGATCACCAGAAAGACCAAAGCCTGCGAGAAGTTTTGAATGCTCAGCATCTCCTCTCCACAGAAAGGGAAGGAGATTGAGTTAATAATCATTCTTGCCGGTG